AATAAACTTTTCAATCTCACTTTCTCTTGTTTCAAAGACTGGCATAGCAGCTTGTGCGATGCATCCAAGAGATTGTAGCACAGCTGGCAAATGCATCTTTTCTTCAAGCATATCAACAAGCCTCTATTCATTTACACAACCATTAAGTTCTCATAAACGATGAGACCAAACGCAAAGCAATAATAAAACAATAACACCAATAAGACGGAATAATGACTAAACGAAGGAAATAAGAACTTAGAGAAACCTTGTATAGAACAGAGAGTGACATGAGCCCAGCATCTTTTGTGATGGATGCCAGAGCATGGACAGCATACTTAGCTTGCCTTCGGTTACCCTCGAAGCATATCCGCTCAAGAATAAGGTCTAATGATCTATAAATAAAGCATAATGGTTACATCAAAACCAACAGAATGAAATAAATGAATAGCATAATTACAAAGAACATTAATTTAGTCTGACCTTGATGAAACACCCAATTGTTCTCGAATTGTACCCCCAGCCTTTGCAAGAATATGTAAAGTACCTTCCTTTATTATTTCATTGTCATCCTCAAGAAGACATGCCAAGTCTTCTTCAATCCCACCAAGCAGTAATGGACAAAATCGACTAAGAATCTGAAAGTCCATCGCACGATATATCAAAAATGGAATATTTAACCGATTTAAACAAATTCATGAGAGATGAGGAGTCATTTAAGAATATTGAAGCAAGCAATCTTTTCCATTGATATTGGTGATAAAGGAGATTGGCATGGTCACAAAGTTCAATGGCACAACAAAGAATCACACTCATGTTTTCATCTTTTCATCTACTGCTGAAAACAACAGACCAACATACCAGATCAAAATCATGCATTATTTATGGGCGAAAAGAAAGAATATTACATTCTGGAAACTCTGTGCCACATAACTACAGAGCAGACCATATTTGAGATATATCTCAACCTAACAATAACATGCATAAAACACATTCTCTGCATCGAGTTTCAAATAAACTTGTGACGAGTTGATGCACAACATAATGGTTCGCGATGGTTTGCACTCACATCAGATACAAAATTTTCAGCCTTTCAGGGTATCTCATAAAGAATCAAGTCATTTTTACAGATTCAACAACCATATAAGCTCTTATTCGACTTTTACACAGTCAAACAGCTGTCAGTTGAGGCCAGTACATCACCGTTCAGTATTCATCAATAAATATCACATTCATAATCTACGCAATAATTGATGTCATACCACAAGAATAGTCATGCAGGATAATATTAGGTCATTATTTCCAGAAGTCTTCAGCACACCAGCCTCCTGAAGGACTTCTTTGACATGATCTTTATCAAAAAGTATATATGAGCATTTCAACGACAGAGAGCTCAGGAACTCATAAAGTCGATGTTCGTGGCCAAGGGTCTTCAGTAAATCATCCTGCATGGCATTCGCAAAGATTGATAAATCCTATTTTAATCGAGAAGCACTTTTAGTCTTATAACCAAAGAAAGGAAATATTAAAAATGAAGATAAAGAACCCATAATCAGATCAACAATCAGACTAGTGCCTCACCCGTAAACTGATGCCCTGTGGAGAGCTCATGTTTGGATCAACAAGTTGCTTTAAATGTTCCCAAAACTTTGAATCTTTTAACTGATCAAGAATCTTAAAGTTCTCCTCCGCCTTTGCTGGATCACTAAAACATCGGGACATAACACGGAAACAAAGCATTACTTTCTTTTGGGTCTCAGAGCCATCACTTTCCTGCACAAAGACAAACCTGAAACTTTCACCAAATGCTCCTACAGGCAACATACTTCCAATAACCAAAGAATGAAAAATGCAGTTACTGTTACAGACCTCAGGTGACTGTCTAAGGGAAATGTATTTTTGCATTTCATGTTGTATCCTGCAACATAATATTAATACCATGAAACAAATGTTTCTGTGTCATGAAGTTATAAATCTGAAGTGATCCAATGTTGAAATACAAACAACATAAGAAAATCTAACATAAACAAAAGCAGCTTCACCAACCTTTGTTTCTGCTCTAGTATTTTCTCAAGAGCCTTCACCTCAATTTTGTTAAACCCAGCAAAAATTCTGATCCAATTCGTCACCTTATCCTTGACAGAAAAATCATTTGGAAACAAGAATAGAGAGAGAATGGGTTCAATTTTATCTGACCTGCAAGTAGAAAAATTTAACAACACCACATATAAGGAAAAAAACAAATGAAGAGTGTTAAAATACCTTACGTAGCAAATCAATTGTAGTCACCAGCCACTTCCCTAAAATTTCTCTAGTTCTTAGACCTCAAAACTCTAAAACGATTCAGTAACCTTTGATGAGATAGATTATTTGTTACTTCAACAATACAAACTGTACCACAGACCGCTTGAAGTTTTTATTTCAATTCATCATGTAATTAGTGACTAAATAAATAAATCTATTGCAACAAAAAACCAGCACTGCGCCTTACCCAAAATCTTCATCATAGATGCATCTGAGGATCTTCCCAACAATCCAGTCATATGCATCATTCTCCACCGAGCTTTCAGACCGGTTTATGCAAGATACTCGATGTATGTCAGCTAACCTCTCCATAGTATATCTTTTAAGCAGGAGCTGGACATTTACAACAAAACCTATCATAATAGGAAATGACAGATGCAGGTATAAAGAATGACAACAGACAGAAGTAGGTTACAGACAGATTTGTCTTGAAGTAGATCCGAGAGCAGCTTGATTGTTTCAACTTTTATGGATGTGGGGGCATTTGATGCTACATCATAAACGATAGAGACAACTTGTTTACGCACATTCTCATCGTCGTCCGACAAATGATCACAAAGGGCAGCTGGAAAATTTCATTGGCATTATCAGTTCTAAAGATCATAAAACAATTTCTAGCATGTGAACGGCTAGAGAAAAAACCCTTACATATTATTTGAGAAGCTTCAGCTCTGAATGGATTGACCAGAAGACAAGACTTGACATGTGCAAGGACAGCCATCCTAACCTCTAGCACTCTATCAGTAAGCCTTTTCAGAAACTCTGTGAAGACTGGCTGGAATGCTTTAGAAATTGTAGATCCAGGCAGAGCAAAGAGTTCACCAACTAAACCCACTGCTTTCAAACGAGTGTCCACTTGTTCACTCTATAGAACAATTTTAAAAGTGATGAAGTATCCAACAAATAAAAAATGAACCATTTAAGGTGGCAAAATATATAGGGTGTTTATCAAAACCACTTTGGCAGAAGAAATTCATCAATAAGAAAGAAATAATGCATAGAGAAGACGAAAAGTTCTAGAAATAATCCAAAAGAAGGTAAGAAACCTTCTAAAGTCAAAACAAGAACACTCATCCTTGAATAGTATTAAATCATATGAAATTATGGAAACTAAAAAGACAACACAGCTGACCTCTCATAATAGTTACCATAAGATTCTTTGTCATGAAAAACAAGATAACATATTAAAGTAGTGGACTATGATTACCAATAGCTCTCCATTGATATAAGGAACAAGTCCTGTCAAGATTTGAGGAGCACACTGGTAAATATTATAAAGCACAGCATGGTAACTGATATCAGGTTTCACAGAGCTGCTATCTCCAGACATTGAAGACACAAAATATTGCTTTATGCCAGGTTCTAGTTTCCCGGCACAATTCTCTATCACACTCATAGCAAGTCTCCTCGCAGCCATCGTCACATCCTAGAAGCAAAAGCTCCATATTTTAATTCCTTATGCTCAGATACATTAAAACAGCACAGCAAACAAGGAAGGGGTTTTAACTTCTTATTGTACCCAAAACAATAATTCAGAAGAAAAAAAATAAATAAAATACAGCAAGCAAGAAAAGAGGTTTTTACCTCCTCATCACGGCCTATCACAGACAACAATGTAAGTACAAGGTTTTCTTGTACATCCTCACTTTCTTCTATGAGAACCTCCATTATCGTTTGCATTGAAGTCAATACATTCTCATGATGTTCATCTCTACAGTTGATAGAAAATATAAAATCATTGCGACAATAAAGTAAACAATCTTAATGAACTATCTCTGCACAGGTAGCACCTTTCTAAATCAATTATTAGTAGAATAAAATATCGATCTGAAAAGGTTGCATTTACTGTCATTAACTGAGAATAATTTCATCATGTTTTTTTATCCTATATAAGACAAGTGTAAATGGGAGTAAGTAACAAGAGGAAACAATATTACCAGAACCAGAGAGATACTACCATATAGAAATGTATATACGGTGTCAATGGTAAACCACAACAAATAAATAAATCAATCTTAAAAAAAA